GGTTTATACCTGATATCAAACTCACTGAGTTCTATGGCCCATTTGACCAACCTCCTTGAAGACTCTGGTGTATCCAATACCTACTTCATTGGCTGATCCGTTGGGACCTCAAAGATGTGAGCCTGAGCCTGGAAGTATGGTCTAAGTCTTCTTGCAACTATAACTAGAGCTAAGATAAGCTTCTTTATTTTTTGATATCTCTCATCAGCTCCCCTTAGAGCTTTGCTATAGTAATAAACTGGATGTTAAGCTCTGTCTCGTTTTCTTACTAATGCTACGCTAGTTGAAAAATTTGAGACGACGAGGTAGAGGGTGAGTACTTCTCCCTCCAAAGGACTTACTAAAACTGGAGGTGAGCTCAGATAATCTTCCAGGGCTCTGAATTCTTCTTCACACCAGGTATCCCATTGAAAAGCCTTCTTTAGGATTTGAAAGAAATGATGACATTTATCACTTGACCTGGACACAAAAAAATTTAAAGTTGCTATTTTTCCTATTAAGCGTTGGACCTCTCTGATGTTAGAAGGTGACTGCATGTCCATCACTACTTTAACTTTTTCTGGGATTGCCTCAATTCCTTTGCTATTGACTATGAAGCCCAAGAATTTTCCTGTTGAGACCCCAAAGGCACACTTGGTGGGGTTGAGCTTCATCTAGTATTCCTTAAGGACCTGGAATGATTCTTCAAGGTCTCTAATGTGGAGTTAGGCTTTCAGTGATTTTACCAGCATGTCATCGATGTATACTTTCATTGTTATTTCGATTTTCTTCTGGAACATTCGATTTACCAAGCGCTGGTAGATTGCTCCAACATTCTTCAATCCAAAGGACATGACCTGGTAGCAGTATGTCCCCTGCTCAGTTACAAAGGAGGTCTTCTCTTGGTCGTTGGGGTCCATTCTGATTTAGTTGTATCCATAGAAAGCGTCAATAAAGTTGAGGAACTCGTGCCCATATGTGGCATCCACAATTAGGTCAATCTATGGTAAGGGGAAGCTATCTTTAAGACAAGCTTGGTTGAGATCGGTAAAGTCGATATAGAAGTGCCACTTTCCATCGAACTTTTTGATGAGAACCATATTTGCTAGCCAGGTTGGGTAATCTACCTCCCTGATGGCTTTGGTATGGAGGAGTTTGCTGACTTCCTCATTGATTGTCTTTTGACATTCTAGGGTAAAAATCATTCGTCTCTGTTTGATGGGCTTACAAGCAGGGTTCACATTGAGCTTGTGTGTGATGATTGAGAGGTCAATTCCTTTCATCTCTTCTTATTTCCAAGCAAACACTTCTATATTCCTCCTAAGAAACTGGATCGGAAGGTTTTTGATTTCTTGGTTTAGCTTAGATCCCACGTATACCAAATGCTCTGGTTTTTCATCGAGTTGGATGGGGTTCCAGTTCTTTTGATGGCGTTGGCCTAGTTTCCAACTCGTCCCTCATCTCAAGCTCGTCCAATTGGATGTTTTCTACCTCTTTCTTCTTCAAGGATGCCACGTAGCACTCCCGTGCTATGCGCTGGTCTCCTCAGACCACTCTAATTTCGCTTTCCATAGGGAACTTCATGACAAGATGGCAGGTAGAAGAGATAGCCCTCATGGCATTGAGGGAGGGTTTTCTAAGCAGGATAGGCTGAAGGTGCATTGACCACTAGGAAGCTTACAAAGGTGGTGGTCTAGCAAGGCAGATCTCCCATAGTGAGCACGAGCTGGATTAACCCCAGGGGTAACACCCTTTCCCTTGAGAACCCTAATAGGTGAGCTCTTATAGGCTTGAGTTTGTCTCTGTCTATATACATCTTGTCTAAGGCAAACGCAAAGATGATATCACAGAGCTCCCGTTATCGATCAGGACTTTATGGACGGTTATGTTTGCGACGATGGCTCTTACCACTAGGGGTCATCATGAGGATGCTAATAGTCTGAATCAGAGAAAGTGATATTCATGTTTAGCCGAAGTGACTTAGACACAATAAACACTTTCAGTATTTCATCAGTTCTGATTATGCGCAGGTGAGCCTTCTAGCTGAGCTGGACTCTCTACCTCCTGCAAATCCTCCGGATATCACTTTGATCTCCCATAGAGGTTGCTGATGGAGTGCGAGGACCTGTTGCAGAGGCTCTGGAGGTGGTGGTAGAGCTCGGTTCGAATTGTCATGTGCCACAAAGCGGCGCAACTCCCTTTGCTGAATCAGAAACTCGATTTCTTTCTTTAACTAGATACAATCATCAGTGAGATGTCCATGGTCTCAATGGTACTTACAATACTTAGTTGCATCTCTCTTTGCTGGGTCCGCCTTCATCCGAGGCAGCCATCTTAGGAATTTCTCATTTTGAACCTCATACAAGATCTAAAATATTGTAGCGATGAGGGAGTGAGCTGCTGAGGAACTGCAAATCTAGCTATGGAGGACCTAGGCGATCTCTGACGCCCCTTTTTTTTGAGGGAACGATCCCTGCCTCTTCTTCGAGAGCTATCTCGTTCTCTTTCTTTTCTGGGACTTTCGATCCCTCTTTTTCTCTTCTTTTCCTTTTTCCTTCTGCGAGGATGAGTTCACTACATTAGAAAGGAGGGATTCCTCGCCATTAATATACTTTTATGCATTGGCTAGCACTTCTACCATGCTTGCTTGTGGGTTTTTTGATATGGAGAACATCAAGTCCTTTAACTGTACTCCTAACCCATCGATGAAAGCAGTGATGACGAATTTCTCATCTAGAACATCTACCTTTAGGGATTCTGAATTGAACCTTTGGACATAAGATTACAGGCTTTCGTTGGGTCCCTATTTTACATTCAATAGGTGGTAGCTCGGCCTTCAATAGGTCCAAGCCCCTATGAAGTGGGACACAAAAGAAATGGAGAGCTCCTTGAAGGAAGAGATTGAAGCCAGGGCTAGCCTATTAAACCATGCCAAGGTTTAACCTTTCAGCGTGATGGTGAAGATCCGGCATCGTACAAGGTCTTGATATCCATACAACTCCATCTGGTTCTTGTAGGTATTGAGGTGATCCATAAGATCTTTTGTCCCATCAAAGGCATCCATTTGGGGCATTTTGAATTTTGGAGTGAGGGGAAAATGCAGCATATCAGCGGTGAATGGGAATTTTGTATTCTACCCCAGGGCATCCATTGTTTTTGGGGTCCTACCCTTCACGGCTTCCTTCATGTGACGAAGCTCTTGTTGGATGTCATTGAAGCGCTGCTCCTAGTACTACTCTTTCATCTTCTGCTAGAAAGGGAGAGATTCATTTTTCTCAATCCCATCATCCTGATTTTGCACTTCTTCGTTGTCACCATTCTTGGGAGGTGGGTGGGAACATGTCCCATGGCTTGGCTATTCTCACCCCCTTCGTTAACCTCCCTGAGGGGATCAAAGTATTGATGTTCTCCTTGTAGGGAACCACCCTAGGCTGGTCATGTCTATTGAGGACCTTGCAGAAGCTTTAAGAGCTCTTCGTTCTATTGGAGTAGACGCTGGTTGACTAGGAGAAAAGCCTCTAATTCGTTATTCAAAGGGGGATCCGCCATGGGAGAATTGGTCTCTGCAGTGGGAAAAAAGTCTTGAAGATTTTCATGTTGCCTTCCGCTAATGGTTTCTTGTTGGTTTTGCATCCGTGAGGGATTCATGTGGCTTCTACTGATATTGGGTGTAGAGACCATCAATTACTAAAAGAAATCAGTGTATTTGTAATAGGAACAGTCGTTCCTACAGACGACGCCAAACTGATTGTGTGTCGAACGTTAATGAGCAAAATATTAATATGTATAAAAGTGGGGTTGGATCTGAGCTACAAGGCTAGTGAAAATAGTATTGTGTTATAGGAGATGATTCACACAGTGAAAATATAGTGGTTTACCAACTCGAGAGCACGGCTAATCCACTCTTCGATGGAGTCTCTTACTTTCTGGAATTTATATTGATAGTTTTGAGGTGATTACACAGTGTTTTTCATATAACCTTGGGTTGTATGTCCTGTAATGAGGACTATGTACAGTATTTATAGCCTAACTCCTAACTTTATGAGATCCGAAGCGAGATCTTTGTCTCCCCTTCGTAACATCCCACTTCATTTCAGGAAAATATTTTGTGTAGTTGAGGATCTTGCGTCTAGACTGGCGCTTATTACAGTTGTGGGCGCTTCTGGTGGCTTCTAGCTGGCTCCCTCTAATTTCCTTTGGGGTGTAGCTCGAGGAAGCCCCAAGGTTTGGATCTCTGAGATCAAGTTTGGTTGGTTGAACTACCTGATTGACCTCAATTTTTGAACTCAAACTTATAATTTCTTTTAAGTATTATCAATTATTATACCCAAAATTACAATTCAAATCTGCCATGATAAGAATTAGTGATTTTGATTTATGATATATTTCAAGTTTTCAAACTTATAATTTCTTTTAAATATTATCAATTATTATACTCAAAATTACAATTCAAATCTGCCATGATAAGAATTAGTGATTTTGATTTATGATATATCTCAAGTTCTTTAAAACCAATCTCATATTTTTGGATCGACCTCAATGATTTCCTTGTCAATCTCTACAAGATTCCCCTCTACCAAGAAGCTCGATTTTGACTATTCTTCATGAATTGAATTACCACACCATATATGGAGAGCATTTGAGCCCAATGGCCAGCGCTTTTGAGTCACCTTTTCGTAACAGTCCATTATCATTCTTAAGTATCATTCTTAAGTGTCATCATTTAAAGCTGCACACTACATCATTTCTTAGAAAGTTCATCCAGTATCACCGCTCATCAACCTTGACATCAATCATTGAGAGATAGAGTCCAAACACAAGAGGCGCTCAGTATGAAGTGTTTGTAATTTATATCTATCTACAAGATCAAGCATATAAATAACATACCGGTATACCCAAAAATTCTTATCGGTACTACAATAATATCAAATGATTTTTGGCGATAAATATATTTGTAATAGTTAATCATAAAAATAATAAAATAAATAATATTTACTTATATTTTTATTAGAAATAAAAAACTATATTGTATACTTGAACGCATATCAAACACTTTTACATGATGAACCTAAAAAATGAGAATTAATTGACTACTGCAAGCTCAAGGCGAATCGTTTTCGCATCAGACCATACTTCATTGCCAACAGTAAAGCCAGAAGGCCATTTCTACCCCTGGTAAACGAAAATGATAAATAAAGCATTGAAAAGGGATCAAGCAAAAACCAAATGACAAGGCTCATCACCAACCGATCAAAGCTTTCAATTTCAAAGTTCAAACTGCACAATCAATACTCAGGGATCGGTAGGTCCTCATCGGCCGGTGGTGCCAAAACCCACATGCCATTCTTATCCTTCTCCATCCCTTTATTTTTTTCAACCCACCAAGACCCAGGAATCAAGCACTCATCAGTCAAGAACTCACTAGACTTATTCACCAAAGCCAAACTCCTCTCCACCTTCAACTCAAACTCTCCATCTTCTCCATCCCAACCAGCCACAATATGCAACATGGCCTGCAAGTTATGCCAGTCACTTGGGTTCTTCGAGTTCTTCAAGTATGGCGATTTTCGAGTATCGATCAATAGCTCCACTCCAGAATTGACATAACCCAACAAAGGACTCGGATATAGCGGTATCAGATCGATCTTGTTTCTAATGTGAAGCACTTTCAGATTTTTAAATTGCTCGAGTTTTTCGGTGAAAGCTTTGTTGCCCACTTGTGGACAACCAAACACAAAAGCAGAGATTGGAATGTCTGTGACTCCGTTTTCACAGAGATCAAAAGCTGCTAAAATTGAGAGACTCGCACCTAGACTGTGTCCCGTGAACGTTATGCTCAGATCCACATCTTTATACTGATTCCTCAGCTCTTCAATCTTCGTTAAAAGCTGTGTTCTTGCACTTAGTTTTGTGAAAGATGAATTTGGGTCTTCAGATGTGTAAATTGTAAGCCAACCCTTCATGACTTTGGGTAGATTATCATCTTCATCGCTGTCACTGCTACTACTACTTCCTTCCTCGGGTCTTAGCTTTTTCAGAGACTTCGGACGTAACAATGGCTCAGCTGACTGAAGCTTAGCTCCTAACACATTCATCCACTCATAGTTTCGGGTCGTTCCTCGCCATGCGATGAAGATTTCACGGCGGCCCAAGGCGGCGCTGACTTCGTCCGTGGTGACGGCGATGTATCCGATCCAGTTGGACTCACGGTCCCATGCCTCGCGTGAGAGTGAGTGGAGGAGGAAGGCTTCGTGGACGCCGATGCGAGCAGTGGCGTAGAGGAAACCGGCGACTTGGTAATCGTCCGGTGAGTCGAGCATGACTTTATAGAAGAAGGCGGTCTTGCCGTAGCGGCTGCTGCCGGCGTACTTTGAGTTTTGGTCGTTGTTGAAGGCGTCGTAGGTGGCTTGACAGAAGTCGCCGCACCGGAGGATGAGCCGCCGGAGGCTGAGGTCTAATGGTTGAAGAAGGCCTTCCCAGTCGTTGCTTCCTAGTAGTTCAGGCCATAATGGTTCTGCTTCCATTGTCACAATCTAAAGTCTTGAAAGCTGGAAAGGAAAGTTTTCAAGGGCTCCGTGTGTGTGTGTGTGTGTGTGAGTGAGTGAGTGAGTGAGTGAGTGAGTGAGTGAGTGGGAGAGAGATGTGTGGACCAAAAGCCAATGGAAGAAGATAAATGGAAGCGGTGATCAATGCTGGGGACATTGGGACACGAGGACCGGAGCATCTTACTTTTTAAAATAATTATTTAAAATATATTTAAATATTATATTATTTAATTAATTAATAATTTTTTTAAATTTATTCAAATAACATTATTTATTTTAATTAACTATTTCAATTAATTTTAACTAACTTTCAATAATAAAATTTAAAGAATAGCAATTCAACTATACATTATATAAATTTAATCAATTATAGACTACAAAAAACGTTTAAATTGGAGCCGTGCGTCTCACTTTTATTAAGTATCAAGTTATTCAAATAATTTAGTTTAAAATCAATTTTTTTAACAACAAAATCGAATCTATCGACTTACCTTAGGTTTATATATGTAATAAATGAGTGTCATCAAAAAAACACATTATATAAGGACATTAGGTGTAACCCGTCTCTAAAGATATAATATAGTTTGAAAAAAAAAAGTGATTTCTTTTGACAATGGAGTGAGGGGGTGAGATAAGGCAAAATGGAATGAATTTAAAGGGAAAAAAAATGTGCTGGAGATAAAATTTTAAATAATTAGTTGATTTATTATATAGATGTTTGTTAATATTTAAAAAATATGTATATAAAATGGTAAAAGACACCTCTAAAAGATTTGTCTCTTTGGTAATTTTTTAATTTGAGCTGACTTCCCATGAGCACTCTGGTTCGAGTTCATGACGCAACTAATATTTAACAGTGTTCTTTGATGATTTTGGGTTTGATTGGTGCAGTGTGAACTGAAGGAGCTGTAGCTGGTGCTGTGTGATGTGATTATCAATTCTAGTTCTTAAAGTTTGATTTTTTTTTTGTTTTGTTTATTTGTAGTTGGAAGTGGAGAAAGTGGTGGAGGTGGTGTTGGGTAGTGTGCTCTTTCTGGTGTAGATATTTTAATTTTGACGATGTGGAAATGATTTTGTTTTTTTATTTAAAAACTGTTCATAGAAATTTTAGAAAAATTTTATGAGGATAATGTCACGAGTGATCTTATCTTTTCATAGGCTTTGAGGTCATGTCACTTACACATTTTCATCATTTTTTACGATTGAAATTAACAATGGTTGTAAATTAAACAAATTTCAAACTTTGACTGAGTGAGTTGTTGAAATTAAAATTATAGAGAGTTAATTGTCACATGTCCCAAATTTAGAGAAGGCATTTTGTGGTTAACCCTTTTAAAAAATAGCCTTAAGAATTGCTTATTTGATAAAATATAGAATAATTTATGAATACTAATATTTAAATCTAATTTTTTTAATTAAATGATCAATTTAATTCATTGGGGTCTTAGGCTGACAATGGATGCTAAATAATACAATACTATTAGTCTGGTCAAAATTATGGCTCAAATGACATGAAAGCTTCTCTATCAAAGCAAATAACGAAGCCCAATAATATTTAATTGGTTATTTGGGGTTTATCGCACCGTTTGACCTACATATCTAATCCCTCTTTTAACTATTTAGTATTTCAATAAATAATAGGGAAAGTTACAATCACACCTCCTCTAATTTATCATATCATGAAAGACATCCTCTCTAATTTTTGAATATTCAATAATACTCTTTCTAGTTTAATTTAAACATCACTAACACCCCTGTCATTTAACAATCATTTCTAACAAAAAGAATTCATCTAAAATACCAAAAATGCCCCTACATAACCTCAAGTAATTTTTCTAAATAAAATTTTATTAAAATTCAAGTTGTTAAAATTTTAAAAAAAATTCGTAAATAACAATTTTCGTAAATAATTTGTTAGCAAATACTAATTTGTTATTTACTTATTCGTAAATTTTAAAAATAATTCGAGCCTATTAAAATTTATTTTTTACATATTAAAATTTAAGTCGATTTGAACTCTACTCGAGTTGTTAGCGCCGATTAAAATTCTCTTTCAATATATATTTTTTACTTATTAAAATTCGTGTCAATTAAGATTCGATTTATTAAAATTTAAGTCAATTAAAGTTCAAATATTTTTTATATTAAAATTTGGGCTGATTAAAATTCAATGGGAATTGATTAAAATTTGATTTGAGACAATTAAAAATAATTTTTAATCGGCTCAAACAAAATTTTAATCAGCCCAAATTTTAATATATAAAAAAAATATAATTTTTAATTGGCACAAATTTTAATATGTAAAAAAATAAATTTTAATTAGTTTGAATTGAATTTTATTAGGTTCGAATTTAATTACGTAAAAAAATTAGAAAATAGATGGGGTTCCATTGAAAATATACTTATCTAGAGGGGGTCTCATTGAAGATATGTTTATCTACAGGGGGTGTGGATGAAGTTTATTCTCAAATATATCATAGACAATTTAATAAAATTACATTCTACTTAATATTTTTAATCTGACAGGGGGTGTTATTGAAGATTCAAAAATTAGAGGGGGTGTCCTTGAAGATATGATAAACTAGAGGGGGTGTTGTTAAAATTTTTCCTAAGTAATAATAAAATTTTTAAAAAGTTAATCAAATGATGTGGCACTGTAACAAGTATACTTAGATCTTACTTTCAAATATTTAATACTCAAAATTTATTCACCAAATCAATTGACACATTATATGTGTTGTGTTTTTTTTTCTATTTTTTGTCGGTATAACATTATCCAATAATATTAAGGTCTGCAAATAATCCGATTACAACGATTGACTAAGTCAACAAATTATACTTGAACAAAATTACTGGTAACTTGTATCAATATGTCCAACTGTCGGTTCTTAATTATTTTAACCAAAGTGCCATTATTAATGACCTTCTTATGACATGCGACCAGATGGTTTATGCAGAATGTATGGTCGATGAGCCCATGGTTGTAGCATTGAGATTCTATCGATACTAAACACATCTCCATATACTGTTTTACTCACATTTCTCCATTGTTTTGTCCAATTTTTTGTGACTACTTGTAGGTAGTAGGCCAGAAAATGGATTGGGTATGGATCGAATTATGCTACATCTGAATTCAAATCCAATTACAATTTATTTCATCTAATCCGATCCGTTTATTCAACGAATTTGTAAAATCAATCTATATCTGAATCCGATCTTGTAAAATACAAGTGACGATTCAACTTGAATCAAATGTTAAAGTTACTCACAATTGTGAGAGCTATGCATGGATACCAACCTTGTCAAATTACGGTATCTTTCAAGAATCGGAGTTTTAGTCTAGGATTAAATCAAGGCATGAGGAAGCTAAATTCGAGTTTTTTTTGGAATTCTACTGCGTGGGCTCATACTACAAGAAGTAGGGTTTCTCCTATTTAGATGTAATTTTAACCTAACAGATAGCATATGAAATGAGTAGGCTAAAGGTGTGTATCACATGTTAATTTTTGACTAGTGTAACTAGTGGGTTAAATATAAGATTTATAGTTAATCTTTTAATTAGTGAAATTCTATTTTGATTAACTTGGTGTAAGTTAATATTGGTGGTTTAAATCATATTAGTTGTACATTAACATGACTTATTGTTTTATTGGCATATCAAGTTTAATAGAATTTTTAGTTTGTTATGTGATTATGAGATAATATATGTGTTAAGTGATCATTTATCATTTGATTAGCGTGGTGGAATTGTGTTTATGTTTATAAAATTAATAACAATTGGCATGTTAGAATTAATGAACATGCTAATTGTGTAAATTGATGTGTTATCTAGGTGTTTACTCAAATGTCTAAGTAAATTTAAGTGTGTTAATTAAGTTGATTATCTTATATAACATGCTTTGATTGATGTTGGAAATGTCATTATATTGCACTCATCATTATATTGCATTGCATATGCATGGGTTACACTACATTCGTGGGTACTGACATGAGTGTGAGTGCGTGTGCATGGGGATAGGGTCAATCAATGCTTAGGTGAGTTGATGGGTGGGCTCTGGAAGGTTGAACTTAGGTCCGACGAAGTCACACTGGATTTTACATATATAAATTTGTCGGTATGTAGCAAGAAGGGCTAAATCCCGCAAACATTTGGATATGCACTTTCCGATTGTGTAACTAGCTAGCAAAAATTATACGATGGTAAGGAGGCATAGTTGAAATATCCTGAAAAATTTGTTTGAGGTGTGGTGTCCCTTTGGTGAAATATCATAAATCATCACCCCACAAAGACATAAAAAATGAATTAATTAGTCATTGGGTGCAAATAACACCAATGGCAAGGGGATTGAATTCCAACAGATAGCTCATGTGGATTCAACCTCAGATTTAATCAAGTAATAAACTGCAATTTGACTACTTATATTTGGGTGTATGAAGTTTATCCTCTTAGGGTCATGCCCCTAATGACTAAGCACGAGGCATGTGTAAGTTCTTTTCGAGGGCTTCACTTCATTTATGCAGGCTTGCCTTTCTCGGGGTCACCCCTAATGACCAAGACCAAGGCTTATATAAGTTATTTTTGAGTGCGGTGCTTTATTTGTGAAGGCTTACACCTCTTAGAGTTATGCCCCTAACAACTAAACTTGAGGCTTGTGTAAGTTTTTTAGAGGGCAGTGCTTCATTTGTAAAGGCTTATCCCTTTCTAGGTCATGCCCCTAATGATTAGGATCTAGTCCCATGTTTGTAATTCATGTCATAAGAGGAATTCATTGATAATATTTTCTCAAATTTGATACATTCTATAATCGGTTGACATCTTTCCCTTCCAAGTCTTTAAGCCTTTAAGACCCCATACCCCACTGTCGTAATGACCTTTTCCAATTGGGGCCTAGCTTCTCGTCACTTGGCTCCTGAGCACCCCCACTACTTTACAAAGCCCTAGGTTCCCCACTTGGAAGCTTTTGGTCTAGGCCTTCCTTTGGTATTGCTTTGAAAAATCAGGTCAGAGGGGAAGTACATCTTCTACTAACATGAAGGGTTCACAAAATCAATTCAAACATGGCCCTGCTAACCTAAGACGTGCACCTCTTTATGTTTAGATACCACTAGACAAACTCCTCAGTAGAGAGGAGTCTCCAACAGAAAATTTTTAGATATTGGAAAGCAATGAAGCTTTTCTACATGGGTGGAATACCAATGACACGATTTCTCAAATGGTTGAGCTGGTCAATCTCAATAGTAAACATAATGAAGAATCTTTTTATTCCAGAAGTGATCTACTATCTAGATCCTTTCTCTCCACTGAAAATTTTCATGGAATGCCATATTTGGAATCTGTACTAGATAGAAGCACAAAAGATGGGGTTGTACTGATCAAAAAGTGGCTTCAAGAAATATTACGTCAGGAAAATATAATTTTGAATGTGAAAATCCGTCCTAGTTTTGCTTCAAAATCGAAGTTGCATCCTATGATTAAAGCTCTGGCTAAAAATGAGTCATCTTTAATGAGAAAAAAAGGAGTTATTTAGCTAGCGGCTACCACGTTACACAGTGCTAGATGGCATGCATTCAATAGTGCTGGGAGCCTGGGAAGACGTTGAATCTTAAGTACTGGAGACACAAGCCATAGCCTCAAGTGATTGATCTCATCCATAAAAGTGCATTAACGGGCTCGCAGGGACAGGAGAGTGGGAAAATGGGGCCATCATAGGGACTCCTTAGTTTTCAAGATGCTTTGCTCCTCACCGCTATTGGATATATATTAGTTGGGAAAAAATTTCCAATATCCGGGTCTGGTGGTACTTTTTCGTGGCAAGAGGAGCATTTCCTGAAAGAAGCTATTGTTGATGTGATTCTCGAGAACCCAACCGCAGCAAAACTTAAATAGCAAGTATACGATGACATGCAGCTAAAGTTGGATTTGTGTGACAGGGTGGATAATTTGTTCAAATTCTTTCATAAGTTTTCTAGATTGAAGAGAAATACGTCATTGAGAGAGGGGACGTTGGCCTTAGAAAGTACCTTCAGTAGAGATCCTTATTCAAGTAAAGTACAACTTCATAAACTTCAAATAAATGTACTAGGTACGTATGAATGTATGATGTACCTAGCTTGGAGTACCATTCCTCTACTATTGGTCAATCCAGGGCGACTCAATCCAATTTATGGCCAAAAACAGAAACATTAAATGAAGAATTTTTTATTTTTAGCATTATTTTTTTAAAAAAATTAATTTATTTTTAATTTTCTATGTGAGGGGGTGACAAAAGAAGAATGTGTTAATGTTTCTGAGAAAGATATTTTAACTTTTATTTTTATTTTTTACCATAAAGAGGGAGGGAATGTTTAATTTTAACTTCTGTTTTTTTTTTACCAGAGAGAGAGAGAAGGAAAAAGTGGGTGAAAATAAATATGAGTTGACTTTTGAGTATTTTTTTTATTTTTTTAATTTCTAAGTTTTTAATATTATGAATTAAATTATAGACCCAAATTATTGCAACAAAAATTTTAATTGGATTTAATTTTTTGGAGCTTTTTTATAGGACTTAAAATTTAATGGATTTAATTATTTTTGTGGGCTAGTGATGTACCTAAAATTATGAAACTTTCTAAAAATTTGGTGCCTAAATCTCATGTTTTTTTTTTTGATTCTGTTGGGCCGGCCCTGTGGTCGACTTGTCAAAAGTGGGTTTAGATGTTTTGGTCTTGGACAGGTTTGTTCTACTACTAGGTTTTTGATGTCGAACTTTTCTTTGATTGCCTAGATATGCTGAACTTTTACTTCTTATTTCTGCAAGCAAAGGCTAGCCTTGCTGACCAAAATGTTATTCTGGTTTTTATTGTAGGAGGCATTAATGGCGTTGAGATTTGAACCTGTCTCAGAGGGGTCTGTGTGTAGTCTTTTGATGTCAAGCATCTGATTTTCGAGTATATTCTCTCCTATTGCTTTACCTGATGTATCTCCAATAAATGCGCCAGAAATTATGATCACTATATTACTTGAGATTTTCATTTTGAAGGAAAATATTTTATAAAATAGAATAGAATTTTTTTTCTTTTATCAAAAACTAGTAATTGCTTGTGCTTGAAGGCACGTTATAACAAACCTAAATCGCAAAAAACCGCCCATGGTAGAGGTACATTATCATGCAAAAAGTCACACATAAGAAATTGAGAAAATTTGGTCGTCAATGTAAACCCATTGGTAGGTGCAATAAGCCCCAAGCTGAAGACACTTGGTAACACAAAATATCACTTAAAAAATTTAAAACTCCAATTAAATTGAAGCAGAACAAAAAGTGTCGGATAAATTTCACAACAGAATAGCGTACACCAGTAACTGGACTTTTTTCAAATAATTCCATGTGAAGAAGTTAAACACAATTGGTTATACACCCGACACTCAAATGAACAAATAGACATTGCTTAAAAAGATAAAGAAGTTAAAATCATACAAAGTTGGTCACAAATTACAAATGAACACCCATAGTTCCATGTCAATTGAATTAAACGCACAGAAAGACACTATTGTTGTATTGTTTTCTGCACATCAGCCATGCTTTAAGTCAAGTCATCTCCCATGCCACTTCAAATTTGCTATACATTTTACTTCATAGATTTTGAGCACACCTATGTTTATTATCAAAACTGTTCTTTCATTGGTTACTAACACTTTTATTTTCGAATAGGAAAACTGAAATTGGTTCTCGTGATCTAGCATGTAAGCTTACAAAGGAATTTGAGGAGCTCACCACTTTTGTAAATGATTATTAGCAAAAGAAAAGTGGATCAAATAATGCATCCAGATGACCTAATAAATTTCGTGCCCAATGAAGTCAAAAAAAAAAAAAAAGGATTTCCTCTAACAGTAGAACTCAAAAAAAAAAAAAAATCAGGTGGTATACAATTTTTATTCCCATGAAAAATAAATTCAAATGCAATGACAAAAAACACTAAACACAATCAAATTGAATTTGAAACATAATATAAATAAATTGAGTTCAAATGCTCGCAAACTTCAATCGAACATAGTTCTAAAAAAAATCTAAGATTGACTCAAGCTTGAGCCTATTCAAACTTGTCTCAAGTTTGAGCCTCTTCAAACTTGACAACCCTCAATTAACCTTCCTAAATATTTGGTCCCCTCCAAAAAAAAAAAGCTATTAAAATGAACATGGGCAAGAGACATTCAACATGATGTAATGGAGTTCTGGTTGTTAGTTGATCATACTGGGCAAACCCTACTTGAACATATGAGTAGAAATTTTAGACAAAGGAGGGGACAATTATTTTCTTAATAGGGATAGAAGTTGAGAATTCATTGGCTTCAGCATTCAATGTTCAATACAGTAGTAAAGGAAGACACAAATAAAAATTAAAAGCCAAAAAAGAAAGGGCATTCAAATGTTATTCAAACCTGACTAGGTCATGATTTGACCCCCTTCTGGAGCATGTCCGAAACCTGCATGATCAATTTCCCAAAAGTGAAATTCAATTACTTACCCGAAAAAAAAAAAAAAGACATTACTGGCGTGAAGGTTCAATACAATACAATATTGAACTTGTCAGGACAAAATTATATAATTGCTAACATTAAATTGGGGACAAAAAGAAAATCCAAGAAGCTTGAAATTAAAACAATCTCATACAGCGAGTTGAACATCACAAGTTGAGCAGCAATCTCTTCAAGTTGTTTCTTCACACTCATATCAATCAACTTTGAAGCCCCATTTCCATACCTAATTGTGAATCCAGCAACCAACGTCTCATCAATCGCAGTCTTAATCCTCACATTCTTCGATCCAGTAAGTTTGTGAACTCATTTTGTTATCTGTGCTAAGTGTTGCGACTCCAATTGCACCACTGACGTAACTATGTCGCTAATAAGGTTGATTCTCTTCATATCTACTAAAATATTTAGAAAATTTGTGGTATGAGGTTGAAGATTTGAGGAACTGGTGATTTCGTCGAGGACCTCACTTTTTTGGCAATGTTGACAGTGGGATTTGAGAAAAAGTAGAAGACTTCAGGGTCGGAGAAGAATTTCTCCACCTTTTCAATGTCAGCCGAGGTGGCTTTTAGGGTTCCATTGGAATTTGCCACCTTAACAAGGGTGTTGGCGTAGCTTCCTGTGATGGAGTCAACCATTCTGGCATTGTGACGACGGGCTCTTTCGAAGGCCTTGACGGTGATTTTTGGGAGTTGCTGGCTATAATTTGGGTTGATGGTGGTGATCAGGATTGAAATGTGATCAGAGTTTGTTGTGGAGAGCCATTGTTGCAATCAGAGGGAGAGAGAGAGAAAGAAAGAAAGAAAAGAAGAGGCGTGAGTAAGAGAGGAGACTAAGGGAGGGAGGGAGAGAGAGATCGTATGAGTGAGAGAGATGTACATGACTTAGGAGTCTACAGTTGTATATGGGATGAAATTGGGAGAGAGAGAGGCGTGAGTGAGGAAGTCTTGTTAGGCGGGAAAACAAAATTTAATACTCATTATAGACCGTTGGATCAGTATTTATGAGATAATCTGAACCATCTTTTATGTTTGAATTATATTGTCTGTTGGATTTATTTATGTTTTGTCTCAAAATGATCTAGACCTCTCTTTGTCTCTAGATTCAAATTTAACTCTATTATATTATATAGATATACTAACAATTGCCCGTGTCCGAAGGCACGGTGTTACTCGTAAGTTAGTTACAAATATTTGTCCATACATAAATATAAAGTAAAATACAACATTGAAGTAAACGACAAACAAAGTGAGTCCGCTAATATCTTTTATAACATCAACCTACATGCATAGCATATCTTTTTACATTAAATTGTTACGCAACAAAAATTATGTTATAACTACTGAAACATAATAATTCAAACATCTGAAAAAATATATCAGTTGACAATATTCAATATTCAATTTTTGATTCAAAATCCACGATTTTAACATACATAATCAACTTTATCTATATAATAATAGAATTCATAACTAATAAAATGAAAATTATAACAATACTCCCACAAATAAACTAAGTCTGCAGATGTTGTCAAATGACCAAATGTAACTATAAAAAATTTAACCGACTTCCAAAAGATACGACCTGACTATTGAATTTGTATGATTCGAGTTTATAGTAGTGCTTTTAATTTTATATTATTATTCTCGGTTATTTATATTCTTAGTATATTTTCTTAAACTAAACGGTATTTAGTATTGAATTAGTTAGTAAAGATTGTTACTTTGTGTTGTTCACTAAATATTGAATTTGTATGATTCGTATTCATAGTATTGCTTATAATTTTGTGTCGTTTCTCTTATTTGTTATTTTGTATCATTTTTCTCGGGTATTTAGATTTGGATTATTTAGTAAATATTGTTAATTTGTGTTGTTCACTATATATTGAATTTGTATGATTCGTGTTTGTATATGAATTTAATCTTATATATTTTAAATGTTAAACATATTTTTTTAATATATCTCTTGATATCTGAATTGCCCAATAATTTGAATTTAATCTTATATATTTTACATGTTAAGTATATTTTATTTGTTAAATTAGATTTTCCACAATTTATGCTTTGTTTTTTATTGATTATGGAAAAAATAAAATTGACTATTAAATTTGTATGATTCAAGTTTATAGTAATGTTTTTAATTTTATATCATTTTTTTGAATTATTTATATTCTTAGTATATTTTCTTAAACTAAACGTTATTTAGTAAAGATTGTTGTTTCATGTTGTTCACTAAATTTTGAATTTGTATTCTTCGTGTTTATAGTATTACTTATAATTTTGTATCGTTTCTCTCGCTTGTAATTTTGTATTATTTTTTTCGGGTATTTAGATTTGAATTATTTAGTGAATATTGTTGTTTTGTATTGTTCACTAAATATTGAATTTGTATGATTCGTGTTTGTATATGAATTTAATCTTGTATATTTTAAATATTAAGCATATTTTCTTTAGTATATCTCTTGATATCTGAGTTACCCAATAAATTTAATTTAATCTTGTATATTTTACATTTTAAGCATATTTTCTATGTTAAATTAGATTTTTTGCAAGTTATATTTTTTTTATTGATTATGAAAAAAAAAAATTGACTATTAAATTTGTATGATTCGTGTTTGTAGTATTGGTTGAATGAAAGAGAGAGATACAGAGGAATATTTTCGTGATATATACTATCTATCTAATATTTATTATATAATTTGTTTCCTTCAGAGAGAGATACGGAGGAATATTTTCATAATATATTATCTCTCTATGATATATAGTATCTATCTATAGAGAGATGAATTATTTGCTTGAATCAGACACCATCTAATATTTTCGTGAGATACAGAGAAAAATATTGTGAAAATTTGATATTTTTTGCGTGAATTGAGCGTGAGAGAGAGAGAGAGAAATACAGACAAATGAAAGAGAGATATTTTTTTAATTTAAGGAAAAGATTTAGGGGAATTCAATTTTGGAAACTATAAATTTTGAGCAGCAAAAATATTTCAAAAGAGTTAATGTGGTACGTCAGATTAAAACGATCTGAGACGTCAATAGCTCGAGACAGTTTGTGATAACGTCATCCATTAGATGATGCATTTTTTGGTCACGAAACGATCTAAACCACTCTTTGTCTCTAAAATTCAAATTCGTTCTACTTTAATATATAGATATGATGACACTTTGTCCTCTGATTATATCTCAAGGTGCATGAAGCTTAGGAGGCATTATCTGAGAGGGGCAGATCTGATATAGAATTGATTCTTGGTGGAACAGCTCTTCTAACTCCCAATGACATGCTTGATTTTTTTTGGGGGGATTCTAGCTAAATTTAAACCTGACTAAAATTCACTTTTTGTTTTGTGATTATTGAAGAGAAAAATTCCATCTAGGATAGATTTCTTTTCTTAAAATTTCTTTTCATGTGTAAGCCTTACGCCTCATATATAAAATTAAAATTGTAATCACCTTTTTCTTTTTTAAATATTTTTGTTCATTTTGAAGAGGGTGTCTCTAGAGATGTGCAATTCTTGTATTCAAAGAGATGGAACCATACCTATTTTTCTTCTTCAAATTTTATTTTCTCATATTTTCAAGTGCTTGGGCATTCAAAGAGATTGAACCTTTGAATGAGTAACTAAAAAATACAAAACATTCGATTATTTTCGATATTTTATGCCACTCCATCTTCGTCCAATATTGAACTCTAGTTTATTAACACCGGGGGAATTTATGAGCAAGTTGGTGAAACCATTAAACATTGAAATTATCCACTGTAAGAGGCAAAAAATTACCAATACCTACTACGAGAAATTTGATGTGATCTTTCTGGTAAGGGATATCTCTGAACTTGATCTCCCAATCTTCTCTCCCTACAAAACGAACAAACTACCCTAGATCGAAGTGTTTCGATCGAAGGCACTCTGATGCTTAAGTTAGTAACGGATCAAAGGTGATTGTTAGAAGAAAATGAGGGTTCAGCGTACCTTTCACTTTTGTTTCTTCAGCTTTTTATAGATGATTATCCCATTAGGGTTTTTGTAATTTTTGATTCAAGGTGGCACACCTTCCTTCAATTCAGTGATTCAGTTTGGGAAGTTGCTGATATTTCTCCTACAATTCCTCCTGACATCTACAATTTCGTTGATTCGTTTATTCAAAATGCCTAAGTTAAAGGCTTATCTTTATCTTTATATCTATTGTTTCGAACAACTCAGTTATAATGAGAGCCAAGTACTTTTGATACTTGTCGAACACATTGATCAACACGGTTTGGTATAAGTCGAGCTCTTTCATTGCTTTGTCAAACCATATTGGTTAGTTCGGCTAGGCCTATTTGACTGAGTAGTTGATATTCTTGTCACGTGCCTTGTCTTGTCAACCTCACGTGGGTTCATTTAATGCCACAACACGTGTAATAATGAGAGTCAGCCCCTTCATTTGCCCCCAGAAAATGTCTAACAGACGTCTTTCTTCTGTCAACCATTTTATGCCTTTTCATTATCATTGCATGTACCTTGTAACATCCCCCCATGTTTTGGTGGCATGTTTTGGCATTTACATATTGCCTTTTAGAATTCCTTCCCTTTATCAACGATTTCTCTTCGTATTTCCTTTATTTTACCTTCTTGCCTCCAAACCCATATCTTTCTCTATATCTTGTCTCTCTATGCGCTTCATCTTCTTCAATGGCCCCTCTCACATCTTCTGAGATTGCAGCTTTCAAAGCAAAATACAATATTCCAGACGACGTCGAAGTAAAAGTTGCTGGAAAAGATGAACCACTGATAGGCACAAGGGAGAGGATCCCCATTCCAACTTGCGCCATTAATGAGGGTGGAGTTCATTTCCCTCTTGATCCTCTCCTCCTCTGGGTTCTTTCTGCTACTAAGCTTTGCCCCCTCCAATATTGTTCCAACTTCTTTAGGATAGTTATGGGGGTGTCTGCTTTGAACAAACTTCTGGGTTTGAGCCTGGGCTTGTGGGAGATTTTATACTGTTATATCATCAAGCTTGTTGGTGACAATTACTACCTTGCTGTAAGGAAGAAGGAACAATTTCTGGTAACCCATCTTCCAAACTTGAACAAGGATCATAAGAATGATGTGGTCTTCGTTTCAGGCAACTCGGAGTATGCTACTGATGCTACTCCTTCCTATCATTGTCCTTATGAAGAAGGTGCACCAGGTATTCAAGTCTTTTACTCTTCTATTTTTTTTATACCACTTTCTGATTCTGGACTTCTGTGTGAAGGAGAAACTATCAAGGGTAGAGTTCCTGAGTCCTCTGTGAAGATGGACGAGCTTAAGAGAATTTGGGATTTCAATGAGTCCATGTTCTGCCGAACTGCCCATTCACTACTCAGATACACTCCTACCTATACTTCCTTCATTGTCGTGCCAAACAAACCTAACACCACTATGGCCATAGACTGAGAGGCAATCCAGGCTGCTAGGGAACAGACCCCCCGAGCCAAGAAAAAGTCTTCCCTTGCAGCCACCGAACGCAGAACGGTGAACAATTTTTTGGAATTTTTATCAATTGTTGAGCCAACCCCGTCTATTGAGCCTATTCCATCTACTTCTGTTCCTTCAATTGCGGTTTTAGACGAGCCAGTTGTTGAGGTCCCAATTGGGCTAGTTCTTCTGAAC